TCTTGTTGCTAGATTGGAAGGCGAGAAGCAAAGCTTAGCGAAACCAATTGATGAAAGAGCAAAAGAGCAAGCAAATTAGGTATCTTTTGCTCTCTATATGATGTCTTTTCTTCTTCTCCATGAGCAAAGAGTAATTGTATGTTGCATTGTCTATGTTCTGTTCTTTAGGGGTACTGCTATCCTAGTTTGATAAAAATGTTGGGAAAGAAACAATCACATAATTAAGGATATAAAAAAGATGCTTTTTAGGGGTCTTTGGCAAAAAAAAACTTATCATTAATTAGCTTATAGCTTAGTAGCTTATAGGCTTATAAGCTAATAAGTTATAAGATGTTAACTTGTAAAAAATGACTTATTAGCGGTTTGCCACCGGTATAAGCTATTTTTATCCAAACACTTTTTTTTCGTTTATAGCGGTGTGGAACCGCTAATAAGCTGTTTTGCTAAACACCCCTTTAGTCTCCTTCAGTATTCCTGGAATATGTAAGCTGGATAGAATGTTATACCTTAGCTGGTAAATTTCATAAAAGGGTAAAACACACATGCAACTTGAATTCAGCTGAAGAAACATCATGACTTCGATTTTAAGACGTAAATTTATTCATATTCACAAAAGAAGATGGAAAAATCGAACTAAGACTCAACTTAGTCATCATCAAAATCTTCAATATCGCATCAAAACTTTTAAGATTCCTGAAAATAGATGATAAATTAACAATAAACTAACAACCTAAAACCATAAGACTCAACCGAAAAACCTTCAAGGAAATTTCATTAGCATCATCAAGAAACACAACAAAAATCCAACGATCAATTCATATACTAATTTTGTATCAGAATGAAATACACATCATGTGATGGGTAAAATTATAAGAGAGGCATTGTTCGATAGAGAGATGTGAGAAAGAAGACCGTAGGGGTTGGGGATAGGGTAAGGGGTGGGTATAATAGTAATTTTAGATTAAATATGAAATAAAATAAAATCATATGGATCTATCATGCAAAATTTAGAAACCTTAGGGACCATGTATAACATCCGTGTTTCTAGGCTAGGCATTAATGATGATGTAATAGTCTAGGTCAACCTTTGTAACTTATTTTGAAATAATAAAGATGTATTATTTGAATATTATGTGTTTATTGCTTAATTATTATGATTTAATAAAGTAAGGATAAAAATAAGCATCAAAAATAAATGTTAGATAAACCCAATATCTATGAAGAAAGTTGCAGTGGTTGAAACAAGGATTCCAGAGATATAAAGAATATATAAATCTGAGTTATAACGAAGAAGTTATGACCTGTCGAAGTTTCGCGACAGAACCGACACAATGATGTGTGACGTAAAAAGTGAATTTACGATAAAGTGCATTTTAGCCTTAGCAATCTAAATAAAGTTGTAGTATACGTTAAACCGAGAGCTTGCATAAAAAGAATGTCCAAATGTAACATCGTATAAGGAAGTTATGAATTTTCTAAGATTTGGTATAACAGTATGCGGCCCGAAACGCAAATTTTAGATCGAGTGATTTTTAGCCAAAATGACCTAAACGAGAATTGAATATCTTGTTGATAGTAGTTCAACGGTAAAAAGACAGACGAAAATGGATGTCGGATGAAGAAATTATGAATTTTTAATGGACTTTTCCTATCCCGGCTTGTTAAAAATATACCTTTAAAAATAAAGTCAAAATTAGCCAACGGAGTCTAAACAAAAGTTGTAGAGCATAATTTCACCTACGCGTGGATATAAAGAATATCAAAAATGGAGTTCGTATGTAAAAGTTACGAATTTTTGAAGTTTTGGGCACAAACTTCGAGGCTGGTCCGAGGGAGTATGCCCAACATACCGAAGGAGTACGCCCAACGTACTCGTGTGAGGGTTCCAAAGTCAGTCACCCTCCCTACTCCTTCGCATGAGAGCCACGTGTCCGTAGCCTTGTCGCGTCTAAGCTAATCCACTTCGTACGCCAAGCGTACGAAGTTACACCCAACGAAGTGATGTGCGAAGCAGTACGCCCCGCGTACTGAAGCTTTACACCCCGCGTAATTAGGTGCTTCGGTCTCCTATAAATAGGATCCGAAGCCAGCCGTATTATGTTACAAAATTTTGCTTCTTTCACCCTCTACTTTCCCTTTTGTTGTAAAAATTACCCCTAAGCCTATTATATCATCCTAGCATCGTAAGCAATCCCCAGAGAGCCCGAAGATCCTGAGAAAAAGAGTTTTTGAGCCGAAACTCCGCCCACATGAAGCCCAGTTTTTGAGAAAACATCCCGGTTTCATCAGAAAAGATTATTTTAAGAGACGAAGTGTTGTCTAATCGTCGTCTTATCATGTGAGTGTGTAGTCATTTTCATCTTACACATAGATATGAAGTATTTTCTATATATTTATTATTTGTTTATTTGAGATGGGTGTTAAATGAATATTTTATACAGGTTTTAAAATGATTTAAATTGTATAAGTTTTTTATCCACAAATATGTTGGATATGTTGAGTATAAGATAGGTAGATGAAATAGTTGGTGTGTGATAAAATGATGAGAGACATCGATGTTGTTGTTGTTGTAGTAGTCATCTAGCGAAGTATAGACGACGACCATGGACCTTTCTAGACAGTCCAGTGGAACGCTGACAGGCTGGCAACCTGTAGGTGTTTGTGAACGATGTGTTCACCGGTGTACTCCATCCCCCTCATGGTTGTCTTACGGACATTTATGGATGAGGAATCCCCTTAGCAGTATTGTCCATCCCGATGATGATCCTTAGGCTAGGTCCCTTGTATAGGTGTTTAGGGACGTAAAGTGAAGATAACGGGAACGAGTAATCAGGGTTATTGTTGGTTGATAAAATTAATAAATTTATTTTTGAATTGATAAATTTATTGTTGGGTGATGAAATTAATAAATTTATTTTTGTTAATGAAATTAATTATTATTTGTGGGTTGAAAACTCTATATGTTCATCAGGCTCCCAAGCCTGACCCACTCAACTTTTTATATTACAGGTAGTGGACCCAAAGCATAATTTTGATGGTGAAGAGAGATTTTTGGATTATAGGTCAGTAATTGTAAATAACTGTTGTAAGACTTATAATATAATGTTTATGTTTTGGTCTGTATCGGAACATGACATCCCAAGGTTTTGTTATATAATGAAAAATGTATTTCTTTAAGAAATACTTTAATAAAATTTTATTATATTTTGTTTTGCGAACAAATTCCGTAATATCTTTGGAAAGATTACTTTGATTTTATTTTAAAAGCATAAACTAAATCGGTGTTTTCTGACCGAGAAATTTAGGGGATGTCACACCATGTACGCTAAAAACTTATTGTAATATTTAATAAACAATATAACAATTATATATATATATATATATATATATATATATATATATATATATATATATATATATATATATATATATATATATATATATATATATATATATATATATATAATACCAAATGAAGGATGTGAGGTGATTTTATTATTCGTTAGGTTTTGATAAGTACACACCAAAAATAAATATAATTTTTTAAGTATATATTGCAAAATACAGATTAAATATTTTTCTAGAAATAGAGGTTTTCGCTCTAATCACAAATTTTTATATTTATATTTTTTCCTCGTAATTTTAATCTAACAGTTAAATTTACTTATTTCCTAGTCGGCGGTGATATAGCACCGGTATGTTACCTACTGGTGTGTTTGCACCGTTGGGCTTACCATTCAAATGAAAGAATGTATCAATTGGGCTGAGTTTTATTTGAAAACGATGTCTATTGGGCTAAAAGTAAAACCATATCAGTGTGTAGTATACTCGACATTTCTTTTACAATTCCATGGAATATATACATAAAAACAACAAGATATCTCAATATATTCTTATTAATTTAGTATGGAGTCTTATATGATTTTTTGAGTAAAACAAAATATGGATACACTATCAATTTCAAATAATTATACTTTATATATTAATACAATATAAAAGTTATTATTTAGGATAAATACTTAATATTTATGTCTACAAGTATTAAACAAACTAATTGATATTTATTTTTTGTTTTATGTGATTTTTACATTTTTGAATTTTTAAAAAAAATTCATAGGTAAAACCATTATCACACCCTAGTTTATAGATAAAAATTGTAAAAAATATAAAAGCTGATGTGACGTCTATATGACAATTTTACCATTGATAAAAACATCATCACACCTTAGTCTTAGAATTTGATAAATTATGATTTTAGCCCCTTAATATATTTTAATGTTATGGTTTTTGTTCTTTACATAATTTTTTTTTAAGTTTTATTTTATTAACATTGTTTTTTATTATTATAATTTCTTAATAAATTATCATTTATGGTCCGTTACCTTACTTCGTCCTCCTCTATATATAATTGTTTGGATCCATCTTTTTCTAAACTTTTATCGTTTACTTGATATAGTTTTATCGTCACCATTCTATATGTGGATTGTTGAAAACTTAAAATTAACATTCTATATTAAATACCAAATATGGTTTGTGAGTACTCTTTGTTTGGTCTTTTTATTTTTAAATCCAAATTTACTAAAACAAAATCATGTTATATATTGTCAAGGATGTAGTATAAAATATAAAACAAAATCGAAATACCTATTTAGGTTCCGGTCATAGAAGATTTTCATCTTTATACTTTTTTCCCTTAATTAATTTATATTTAAAAATTTTATCTTCTCATAATTTTAAAGTTAAATTATTAATATTTTATATATTACGATTTGATCAATTATTATATTTTAAAGTTAAGTTTTGACTCCATACATAATTTTTTAATAATTATTTTATATTGATTCTTTTAGAATATATATGTTTAATCATCTCCGTAATATATATAATATCAAACTGTGTTTTTCAACATATTGATGCTTCGGCAACATCCCATGGTCAAAAACACCGGTTTATATAATTTTGCATAATAATAATAATAATAATAAATAAAATAAATAAATGAATGTGGATGCGTAAGCCTGTAATTGTAATTCGATCAAATATGTCGCATTCATGACATTCTAGCTGTGATTGCTAATGCAACTTCCTCTAGTTTGCTACCGACTGAAACTACAGAAAAGCTCAACAATTGTCGTCCCTCGACGTTTTTCCTGCAGTGGAAAAGTTTGCGAGCGACAGACAATTGGTCACCATGGGAATCAAAAAAAGTGCAACTATGAGTTACAGAAAACTTCCCAATCAAATCCCTCTACTAATTCGTAACAAACCTCAATCAAACCCACAACCTTTTCAATCAAACTCTCACGCCAAACAATCCACTAATCTCATCAAAGCGTACTTCAATAATGGCCTGCTCAACCACGCACGCCAACTGTTCGAAGAAATGCCTGACCGAGACGTAGTTGCATGGACAGCCATGATTTCTGGATACACAGGTTGTAACCACCACAACTCTGCGTGGATGATGTTTAAAGATATGACGAGGGAAAGTTCCGATCACCCAAACGCCTTCACCTTTTCAAGCGTCTTAAAGGCTTGTAAAGGCATGAAGTCCCATTGCTGTGGTGCTTTAAGCCATGGCCTTGCTTTGAAGCATGGACTTGTTGGTGCCAGCATATATGTCGATAATGCCCTTTTAGACATGTACGCCACTTGTTGTGTTACTATGGAGCTTTCTCATTCCGTGTTTCAAGAGATTCCTGTGAAAAATCAGGTGTCTTGGACTACACTTATAACCGGATTCACTCATAGAGACAATGGGGTTGCAGCCCTTGAAATATTCCAACAAATGTTTATGGTATGTAAATTGTAAATTGTAAATTGTAATAACTCATTCCATTCCATTCCTTCCTCATTCCATTCCTTTTTCAATAGGAAAAAGCCGAACAAAGCCCGTATAGTTTCTCAATTGCAATCCGCGCATGCGCAGGAATCACCTCTCACACATACGGAACACAAATCCACGCTTCCGTGGTCAAACACGGGTTTGACCGTAACATTCCCGTATCAAACTCATTACTCGACATGTATTGCAAATGTAACCGTTTCCAAGAAGCCGACAATTGTTTTAAAGAAATGAACGAAAAAGACGACATCACATGGAACACATTAATATCCGGATACCAAAACTCCAATCCAATCAAGTCCCTACACTTGCTTTCACAAATGGAGCTTTGCGGGTGTCACCCAAATCACTTCACATTCTCGAGCCTCATCACCGCGTGTACTAATCTCTCGATTTTGACCTCCGGTCAACAAATTCACGGAAAGATTTTCAAAATCGGACTCGACAACAATTTGCCATTAGCGAATTCGCTAATCGACATGTACGCAAAGTCCGGTGACATCGAGGATTCCAAAAGGGTATTTTCGGAATTGCGTAATCGGGATGTTGTTTCGTGGACTTCGATGATGATTGGATTCGGGAACCACGGGTACGGAAACGAAGCGGTTCGGTTGTTTAATGAAATGGTGGATTCGGGTATACGACCCGATATGATTGTATTTATGGCGATTCTTACGGCTTGTAGTCATTCGGGACTTGTTAATGAGGGGTTGGATTACTTTAAATTGATGATTAATGAGTATGGAATTATCCCGAGTAGAGAGATTTACGCGTGTGTTGTTGATTTGCTCGGGCGGGGCGGGCGGGTTGGGGAGGCGTATGAGGTGATAAAAAGTATGCCGTTTAAAGGGGATGAATCGGTTTGGGCAGCGTTCCTTGGAGCTTGTCGGGCACACGGGCAGCCGAAGATGATGAGTGAATGTGCCCGAGAGGTGTTGGATTTGAAGCCTAGAAAATCGGGGATTTATGTGTTGTTGGGTGATATGTATGCTTTGGAAGGTAAATGGGGTGATAGGGTGAAGATGAGGCGGTTGTTGAATGAATCCGGGAATAAGAAAGTCGCGGGGAGGAGTTGGGTGGAGGTTCGTGATCGGATTTATAGTTTTGTTGCCGGAGATGGAGATAGGTGTGATTCGTATGTGGGGCCCATTTACGAGGTTCTTAGCGTGTTGGGTCGTCACATGGTAGAGAAGATTGAAGTTTCTTGAGTTTGAAATTTTCATTTTTTTTTCTTGTGAGGTTGGTATATTTGATTTTATTTTTACCTAATTAATTAATTATAACAGTAAAAAAAGTTTTGTATTTGGATTAGATTTCTATAATTGGGTAGTTTTGTCATACAGAGAAATATAATAAGCAAATCAATAAGAGTATGATGCTCAATTATGTTATGTATTCCTTGAAGAAACATCGAAAACGATGGTTTTTGATTGATTTCTAAATCTAAAAGAGGTATGTTGAGACTTTAAGTGGCGTATATGAAGTCTCAGAAAGAAACTAAAGAAGAAAGCACAAAAGCATGGACTCCTTTTATATGCCAAAATATTATTTCAGTTAAATAGAATTAAAATAAAACATTAAGATTGAACTAAACACAGCATTGGGGAAAAAGTGTTAAATGCAAGACATAGCGATGTACTTTTATTGATTTGGTTATTATACTTTTTTCCTTCTTTCTATTACAATATTGTATTATGAAAAAAATTACCAATCTGATAGCTATATCATCAAATACAAAACAATTTTATTGCTATAGTTAGTTAGATTTTTCAAAATATAAAGGGGTAAGTTGCATCCTCTAAACTACCACACCAAACCAAACCCGCTCTGAGGCCCATCACATGGGGTGGGTCACGGAGCTTGCTGAATCACGCTTCCTTACCAATATATTTCACAGGCTCTTCCATTTTTTTTTTAAACTCGTTGTACTTTAAAAAACCTACCAAGTTATAACATTGTCCTTTCATTTTTATTAGGACATTATACTTTGAAAAATTGGTGTAGGTCATTTTTAGTTACTTAACTTTTGGTTTTGTGCTCATTTGATCACTTAACTCTTTAAGTTTTAAAAAGTTATCAACCTTTTGATTTATGCTTATTTAGTCACTTAACTTTTGATTTGGTCCCTTAACTTTTAGATTTGTGCTCATTTAATCACCTAACTTTTAAACTTGTGCTTATTTAGTTACTAAACTTTTGAAAAAATTTACAAGTTTAGTAACTAAATGAAGACAATTTTAAAAGTTAGGTGACTAAATGTGCCCAAACCAAAAGTTAAGTGACTAAATGAACACAAAGCCAAAAGTTTGATGACTTTTTAAAACTTAAAAAGAGTTAAGTGATCAAATAAACACAAAACCAAAAGCTAAGTAATCAAAAATAACCTAAACCCTTGAAAAATCTACATAATCATAACATTAAAAATTGTTTTGTATTTATTATTTAGATGGCATTGCTATAATTAATAGATTTGTTAAAGAACTATGTTCTAATATGAATAAATGAAAGTATTACATTGGTATTTCTAGAGATTAACGAATAGAAGTTAGGAGTAGTAGCAATTACCCAAAAGAGAAATGCTTCTTTGTTATCCTAATTAAAGAAAGGTAAAACCCATCCATGATTATCCCCACATGACACAACCAATATAGGAAGGTAATGCCTAGGCTTGAACATGAAACCTTATCATCTCCTTACATACAAACATTATAAAAACTCTTTGTCATTTATGTCAAAAGAAACCTCATTCGTATCCGATGAACAAGCCACCATTTTCACTTCTCCACTAATTATATCCAAAGTTTCCACAATCTCACGAATACGAGGATGTGTCTTATCACCAACAAGAAATTCATGCACCACACCATTCTCTTCAATCACACTACACCCCGGCATTTTATCAACACCTTGTTGAACCATCAACTCTCTTATATCCGAAACATAATCCCAACTCCCCTCGGAAGCATAAATATTCGACAATAAAACATGAAACCCATCATGGTCGGGTTGAAGCTGAATCAGCTTCAACCCGACCCTCTTTCCCATTTCAATAGCACCATGTTTCTTACAAGCACCAAGCAACGCACCCCATGTAGCTACATCTGGTGCCATTGGCATACTGTCAATTAGCTTTTCAGCTTCTTCAAGAAACCCCACACGCCCAAGAAGATCAACCATGCATCCATAATGTTTGATATTCGGCTCAATTTTGTGTATATTGATCATGCAATCAAAGTAGCGCCGCCCTTTCTCCACCAACCCCATGTGGCGGCAACCACCAAGAACCGCCACAAATGTAATCTCATTAGGGACTACACCAAATCTTTCCATTTGTGAAAACATTTCTAGCGACTTCTCGACCTCTCCATTCATTGCAAGCCCTAGAATCATAGCGTTCCATGATGATACTCCTTTTTTCTCCATTTTATTGAAAACCTCATTTGCACTTTCGACACACCCTAGCTTCATGTACATGTCTATAAGGGTAGTACCAAGAATAAAATTAACTTCTAAATTGTTCTTTTTTATATACGTGTGAACCCATTGACCTTGGTCAAGAGCGGCTAACTGTGTACAAGCCGAGATGACACTAACCAAAATGGTCTCATCCGGCTTAACGGTTCCATGAACCATCATCTCATGGAACAAGGTTAGAGTTTCGTCGAATAGACCGACTTGGGAGTGTCCGGATATAAGTGCACTCCATGACACTACATCTCTTTCAGGCATTTTATCAAACACCTCACGGGCTTTATCAAGTGAGCCACATTTTGAGTAGCAAGTGATCATGGAGTTCCAAGAAATAATATCTAAGTGGGTGCTTGAATTAAAGAGTTTTTCTGCAGCTGATATATCTCCCCAAGTTGAGTACATGTGAATCAAAGCGTTTTGGATGTTAACATATGATGCAGTTCCACTCGTTAGAATTAATCCATGGATGGATGTTCCTGTGTTCACAATTGATGATTGAGCACACGCAGAAAGAACACTAATCACTGCAACTTCGTCTGTCTTGATTCCAATTCCATTCATTTCGATAAACAAATTCAAAGCCTGTTGATGCATGCCGCTTTGCTCATAGCAACTAATTAATGCAGTCCAGGAAACGAGATCTTTCTCTTTCATGTTGATAAACAACTGGTAAGCTTCAGGGACACGTCCACACCGACCAAACAACACGATCATGGAATTTGATGCGATTATATTCTTCTCAGGCATCTGATCAAATATCAGCTTTGCTTCTTCTACATTACCCATCTGAACGTACCCAGCCAAAATTGAATTCCATGTAACTGAATCTCTCACAGGATTTTCATCAAACACCTTCCGTGCATCCACCATATCGCCACAGACACTATACATATTGATCAAATTGTTTCGTACATAAACATCGGAATCAAAACCCATTTTCACTACATGGTTGTGTATCTCTTTCCCCTCCAAAATTGAACACCTAGCGATGCACGCTTGGATTAGTAGAGGATAAGTATAGCTATCCGGATAAACATTGTTCTTGTTATTTAACATCAACTCGTAAAGAAAAACAGTCTCTTTTGGATGGTTTATCTGCAAGTAAGCACGCATCATGGTGTTATAGATAAACCCATTTGAGCTCTCGATGCGATCAAAGATTTTACGAGAGTAGTGAAGATTAATGAATGAGGATTGACCAGTAGAGAAGTTGAGGATCCTGCTTGCTGCATATGCGTCTTTTATGAATCCAGTGACGATCATTTGACAAATAATTTGGTTGAATTGTTTGAAATTTTGACATTGTAGCAAAAAGGCGTCCACGATTGACTGATTTATAGTCGTTTTATACACTGATTTGTAACTCGAAGCTGATTTAATCAGCTGTGCAGTCTTCATATAAATTGGGGGAGCAACAAAAATGAAAAGCTCGACCAGTGGCCCCTTCGCTGCCAACAACGAACCGCAGGTTAAGTAACTATAGATTTATGTGTTATATGTCGAATTGGTAGAGGGTTAGCATTTTTTTTAAGGACAAGTCACTCGTTATCTTCACCGCTAGCCCAAAAACCCTTGGTATAGTTTTACATCACATGAAAAGATATGGATACTATGGGATAATGACATAAATGAAGTAACAAATTATCGAAAATATTTTATAAAATATCTTGAATGACAGAAAAATAAAAATAAAAATATTATTACATAACAACATTATGTATTTTGTATTTGGTTGATATTTTAAAAATATTTTCTATATATTTATAACAAAATTACATAAATGGTCACTATGATTTAGCAAATGTCATGAATTCGGCTAATGTTTTTGAGGAAGATGGTATGTCGTTTCTAAAACTTACATGTATGGTCTTTAAGCAAGATGAAATGACTTCTTTTTCCTATTTAATTTCTTCTATTATTAATTTTTTTGGTTTAATTTCAATTATAAAAAGGAAAACAAAAATATCACCCCTCATCCCACACAACTTTTCTCTTACATTGACTCATCTAATTCATGTCTTCTCATCTTCCTCATCTTTTTATCATTCGGTGCTTCCCCTTCATCCATAACTTGCACGTACACTCAAAGGATTTTGATTATGTCTGATGAACCTGTAAAAAACATCTTCATTTTGTATCAAACGAAGCATCTAGAACCAAATTCCTACAACTTCAGCTCATTGGTAATTTAGATAGACAAAATTAGGAAAGGAAATGAAAGTGAAGCCAAACATGGTCGTAAGCATTGCTTTGACGGTTGCATTCATGGTAATTTAGATAGACAAAATTATGGGATTTTGTTGAGAAAGCAAAAAGGGTTAGAGTAGGAATAAGGTGAAACATAAGGTTAGTTGATCTATGTACATCTCAAAAATCAAAAGAAAATTTTCTGTTTTTAAAGTAGTAAAAACCATTCCATAATACCATAAGTCAAGAAATCCAAAACAAGAGTTTAACGTTTTATGAAAACATTAGAGTAATCCCAAAATCTTAAGGTGCGGAAAACCATCGGTAGATGCAATATAATTAAGCCGACTCCGTTCTCTTGCTACTAGAAGTACTTAAAACAATAAAACCTTGAATCGTAAGCATAAAGTTTAGTGAGTCCCTGAAAATATCACATACATAACGTGTCCCGCCCAGTATACATGTAAGAGTAACAAAGACAATCTAGCATTCTACACAGTATAGTGCGAAGACTCGACACGCGAATCATAGTAAATTAAATTATATCTCATAAAGACGGGAAACTGGTACTACACACCACCTAATGAATCATAGAAGGTACAAACCAAAACTAGCATTTGATGAAAAGTCAACCCGATCAAAAAAGTCAACGGTCAAAGCCAATAGTCAACCACCACGTCGTGGCCAACTACTGATTGGATTATGGCAGGCACACGACAAAACAATCGTAGATGAAACCAACTACCATGCCTTGGTAAGGCCCTTTCCATGCCGATAGATGAAACCTGCTACCACGCCTTGGTAAGGCCCTTACCATGCTAGTAGATGAAACCTGCTATCACGCCTTGGTAAGGCCCTTATCACGTCGTGGTCTAGCTTTATTAGAATTGCGATAGGTCTGCCCACCATACAAGCAAGGCCCTTGCCAAGTCATGAGGATACTGGCAGATCCAATTCTTTGCCAATGTCTTAATCTATTAAGCCAAACATCCATAGTTTCCAAAGAGCTTCTTAGCATCCTTAGGGATCACAAAAACCCTATTTATAGACATGCATGTAAAACCTCAAAATTTAGACCAAAATTTTCATTTTTAATTTCCCAAAATAAAGTTTCACAAACAAATTCATCCAAAAACATAAGTGTTTTAAACAAACATCATCACAAAATATCAGAGTATCTCAAACTGCCCCAGTAACAAATCTTCCAGCGAGTGTGTACAATCAAACCTTCACCTTCCCACGGTCCTCAGAAGTACCTGAAACACATAAATCAACAAATGTAAGCACAAAGCTTAGTAAGTTCCCCAAAATACCACATACTTCACAACATAAATAAACATCTATGGGTTATCGGCAACCCTAAAGACTATCAACAGTCCCAGTAGGCAACAACATGTCCTATGGGTTATTAACAACCCTGGAGACTATCCGCAGTCTCAATCATACATAACAACATAATACAAAAATAATAGTAGACCCATCATCTATTCTACAACACAAGTAAGAATAAGTAAGGAGACTCACCTAATATTGACGGCAAGTAAATCTCACACTCGAATTGTCGGAACTAGACTCCACCCGACCAACGAAATAATTAACCCTAATTAATAATTGAGCTCCATAACTCAACTCGCAAGTCCAAAACCCACAACTAAGTCCTTTAAGGGCAAAAAGACAATTTTGCCCCTCCCATGGCCTAAAAGCCTAAATCTTGACCAAAAGTCAATTGCCCAACATGTAAGTTAGGCGTACTCTTTCTTATACGACTACTCGAACAATAACCAATCAGGAACGGAACCGACTATGCGGGGCATAGCCATGAGTACACCCGATGTACTCCATTTGATTCAACTTTCACCAACTTTTGTGTCTTAATCCATTAAGACATCTAACCCAACTTCTTATCTGACCATCCTAGGGTGTCTTAATCCATAAAATCGTCGACTTTAAGCCTTTGCATTTCTAGAAAGGACCCAATGCAACAAAATCTAACTTCCATCACACTCTATGTGACTTTACCCACGCATGGGCCATATGAAATGATCAAGCAACCATTTTTATGAATCTACAAGTCCTAAAATGCATGAAAGGACATTTAATATTCTATGGAGTGCTACCAACTCATAAAGGTCCAAACTTGGGGACAAAAATCTCATAAAACTCATCCATGGAGATCAAATAGGAAACTCATCAAGGTATAAACTTTATACCTGAAAAAGATGCACAATAAGGAGTGGTTTCTGGATCTTCAAGCCTGCAAGCAACAATTCCTTCATCTCTAGCCTTCTTCTTCAACAACATGCACCAAAGTCCACCAAATTCACTTAATAAGCTCCTAAACTCTCATTAACAAGATTAGACTCGAGATTAGGGTTTGGGGAGGGAATGGTGGTTGATAAGGATAATCCAAGGGAGTTATAAGGTTGATTAAATAGGGAGTAACCCTTAAAAATTAGGGTTTAGTGACTAGGCTAGTACGCCCGACGTACCACACACACCCCCAACATACTAGCAAGACATCAACAATCCTGCATCACTCGAGTACGCTGTGCGTACCCTCAAGTACGCCCAACATATGGCTAAAACACGAAGCTTTTACCATAAGGGACCAATTATGCAACTTTGATAAAGTTAAGGGCTAGAAATGATAATACTTGGAAATCAGATGTTACAACGCATATTCAATTCATTCCATACTCCAAACTAGGTCAAAATGGGAGAAATGGGACAAAAACCTCATGCATAGCATCCAATCATCATAGAAGTCTAGATAATAACCATAAAATAAACTTGGGACTTCATCGATCTATAAAGTTGGAAAATTTACCAAGATGGATCACTAAAATCTCATTAACATGAATAAATAAACTCAAAACCAAGATCTAAGATGGAATAACCATAAAGGTGATGGGTTGAAGGGCTTACAAAGGTCCAGAATATGCACAAAAGTTGTAGATGAGCTTGCTTGGTGATTCCTTGCTTTACAAGATCTTCCTTCTCCTTTTAAAGACCACAAATCACCAAAAATGAGTTCCAAATAATCACAAGAGAGTAGGGTTTGCTTGAGGGTTCTTTTAGGGCAATGGGGACTGAGGGTGGATGAAACCCTAGCCCATATATCCTTTTTATATAGGGCCCAAAGCATGAAACCTAAGTTTTTTTTTTTTTTTTGCGGAGAGTGGTGCCATGTCGTGGTGATTAGATTACTACGTCGTGGTGAGGCTACACTACCACACCGTGGTACTTAAAACACCACATTATGGTAAGGTAAAAATCCCTAATTTCACATTGAACTCATAAAAAGGATTTTAAAGAATAATACCTGAGAATCTGGATGTTAAAATCTACTTCATCTTCATGATGTATGTGCGCTGGGTAAAACCACAGAATCGAGTGGAAACACTGCCACTCCTGGTCCTTTGGAACCACTATCACTTTCCTCCATCCTCTGACCATCATCCCTGCACCATCTATCCCACAACCATTGTCTAACCCACTGTTAATCTAGAGCCTAAAATGACTTAAAATACCACTACATATTTTCCACCCCATTTCCTCATGTTCTTCATCGGGGTTCACCCTCGACATCTTCATCTCCGATCACCATCATCACTTTTGTAGTTGCATCCAATTAAACAAAAAGAGGAAACATGTGCATCTGAGTGTGTATTTAATTTATCAATCCAGAAAGCACACCCCAAGAAATCACAACGAACATGCCCTAGAAATAGAATCAGAAACCACATCACTCAAATTAAATCAGAAACCTACAATCAAACAAGGACTTACAATCAAATCAATCGATATAGAACATAAAGTGACATTTCCCCGTCTAATCCTCTCTTTATCACCCAAATCGGGCCGATGATATACGTGTTGATTCAAACACTAAACACTGATCTTTGCTTTGTTTCTATCTTAAGATGAAAGGCGATGAAGATGAGGTACTGAGGTGGGTAGTGATTGTTCATGAAGACTATGACAATGAAAATGATGAAAACAATGTGTAAGGAAGACGGAGGGGATGAAGATGAATGGTAGGGTGAGGGTGATTTTTTTATTTAATTAAAACAACTTGCAATTAAATAAAAAAATAAAAGATATTAATAAGAATATAAAAATTATTTTATATGATTTGGGATCAATCACACATTATAAAAATCATATTCATAAAAAAAGGGAAAATGACTTATAGGGTAAGATATTTTTTTAAAATGTACACATTTAGTCCTTATTCTTTTTTTCTTGTAAAATAAACCCTTATAATTTATTTTTTGTAACAATGCAATCCTTGTGACCGGTTATACCCGGTATACCGGTCATATACGAATTTTCTTTTAGGGAAAATGACTTCATAGGGTAAGATACTTTTTGAATTGTACATATTTAGTCCTTTTTTTTGTTTTTTTTTTTGTAAAATAAACCCTTATACTTTATTAATATATACACATTAGGTCATTTTCACTGGATTCTACAGGTTTTGCTGATGTGGAAGCACAAGTGACACTAAATAGCAATTAATTAGCTTAGTCACCGGAGGTGGGTGATCCTCCAGCAATAAGAAAAGGGCGGCGACCCTTCTCTTTCTCGTCTCTCTTCATTTCGGTCGAACATCAACAGCCAAACACCCTTTACCTGTTGTGTTTCTCCAATCTGTCTTTCTTTACCTCCATCTTTGAGATATAGTGCCAGAAAAAGAAGAAAGAATCGATGAGGGGGCTACCAGAGCACCTCCTCGCCGCCAACTACCGTCTCTACTTCCTCTTGCCTCCCACTTCGACCTTGCTGTTTTTGCCATCATTCCTCCTTGCTACCAGTGATGTGTAGGAACACATAAAGGAGTCGCCGGAGATAAGGTTCTCCCTCTTTTTCATGATGAATAAAAGTTGGAAAAATCTCGTTGTAGATATGTGGATGCCACCTAGGTATTTAATTTCAACAAAATAAAAGAAAGGGGAAATGACTTGATAGAGTAAGATACTTTTTGAAATGTACACATTTAGTCATTATTATATATATATATATATATATATATATATTTTTTTTTTTGTAAAATAAACCCTCAACCTCAGTAAAACCTGTAGAATCCGGTGAAAATGACCTAATGTGTACATATTATTAAAGTATAAGGATTTATTTTACAAGAGAAAAAAAAATAAAAACTAAATATGTACATTTCAAAAAATATATTACTTTATCAAGTCATTATCTAAAAAAAAAAATTAGTAACAACTACAGTTGTGAATTTTAATAATTTTGTCCTTTATTCATTTATGTAATTGAATATGGTTATCTATAAAACACCACTTTCGTCACCATTAAGGATCCCCATAGTTTAAACCTTGAAATCGGTGGGGCGTGCTCCCCATTCGTAGATACGAATGGATGCTACAAAGTTGATACCTCTCATAAGAAATGTCGCTGAATCAAAAACGATTAAACATGCCAAACTCGTTCACCAAAAAGTAATCACCTCAGGCCAACAGAAGAACATTGCAATATGCAAAAACCTCATTAGTCTCTTCTTCTCTTGCCAATTATTCCAATCTGCTAGGCTAGTTTTTCAATCTATTGAAAACCCTGCAGATATCACATTATGGAACAGTTTAATTTCAAATTACACAAAGAATTTCATGTTCGATGAAGCTCTTCAAGTCTTCGAAAAGCTCATGCAATTCACTCTCTTGAAACCTGATAGTTACACATACCCAAGTGTATTAAAGGCCTGTAGTGGACTGGGGTTTGCGAACTTCGGTAGAACGATCCATACGCATCTGGTTAAAAACGGGTTTGTGGCTGATGTTGTTGTTACTAGTTCTTTGCTTGGGATGTATGCAAAATGTGGTATGTTTCGGTTAGCAGTCCAAGTGTTCGATGAAATGCCTGACAGAGATGTCGCTTGTTGGAATACCGTAATCTCTTGTTATCATCGTGATGGGCAGTATGAGAAAGCATTGGACTTGTTTAAAAAGATGAAAAATGATCATGGGTATGAACCTGATTCTGTATCATTCACAACAGCCATATCCGCTTGTTCTAAGCTTTTGAATCTTGAAACAGGTAAGGAGATTCATAAGGAAGCCATGAGAAACGGTTTCGGATCCGATGCTTTCGTTCAAGCTGCTCTGATTGACATGTATGGTAAATGTGGTTCTTTAGATATGGCTCTACAAGTTTTCAACCAAATCCCTTTCAAGAATCTCGTTTCTTGGAACTCCATGATTGCAGGATATAGCTTAAAAGGTGATAGCAAATCTTGCATTCAACTTCTATGGAAGATGATCACACAACAAACTAAACCAAATTCAACAACTTTAAGCAGTTCACTAATCGCTTGTTCCAAATCCTCAAACGTGAAACATGGTAAGTTCATCCATGGCTACATAACACGAAACAACATAAACCCCGATACCTTTATTCACACCTCACTTGTTGACATGTACTTCAAATGTAACTACACTCAATCAGCCGAATCCATCTTCAAGAAAATGGCAAAAACAAATGTTGTAGAATGGAACTCCATGATTTCCGGATACGTATCCGTAGGCTTGTATCTTGAAGCTCTTGACATCTATAAATCCATGAATACAACCCAAGTGAAACCCGATGTGATCACATTTACAAGCATATTAGCAGCATGTACACAACTTGGTTCACTAGAAATCGGTAAGGATATTCATAAGTCTATCATTTCACACCACTTTGAATCAAATGAAATAGTTATGGGAGCTGTTCTTGATATGTATGCTAAATGTGGAGAAGTGGAAATAGCTCAACAGGTTTTTAGTCGATTACCTGAGAGAGATCTTGTTTCTTGGACTACTATGATAGCAGCTTATGGGGCTCATGGGGAAGCTTTTAAATCACTAAAACTCTTCCAAGATATGAAGAAACTGAATATAAAACCAGATAGAGTTGTGTTTTTAGCTATTATTTCGGCTTGTAGCCATGGAGGATTAATTGACAAAGGGTGTTATTACTTCAACCAAATGGTTAATGATTATGGGATCCAACCAAAAGTTGCAGATTACTCATGTGTAATAGATCTTCTTTGTCGTGGTGGAAGAGTGCATGATGCTAATGCTATTCTACAAAAGACTGAAAGCATTAGAGAGGATGTTGAACTGTTGAGCACATTGTTTTCAGCATGTAAGTTACATGGGGAGATAGAATTGGGTGAGAAAATTGCGGGTTTGCTTATTGATAAAGATCCTGAAGATCCATCAACGTATACTGTGTTAGCTAACATGTATGCTTCAACCAAAAAATGGGATAAGGCAAGAAAAGTGAGGATGAAGATGAAAGAGCTTGGATTGAGAAAGAATCCTGGGTGTGCTTGGATTGAAGTTGATAAAAAGATTGAAGCTTTTTTGGTGGAAGACAAATCGATCCCTCAAGCAGGAAAGGTGTATGAATGTTTATCTGTTCTTGTTAGTCATATGAACATGGATGAACTTTTGTTTTAGAGTAATAGATCAAAAGATGTAAAGCTTAGGTTGCTAGTTACCAAAATTAACCATGAGTTATAAACCCAATTGTCAAGTGATATATATATAAGGGTTTTGAAAGAGAAATTTGAGTTTGTATGTCTTAAAACACTCCTTATATACAAATTATGTCATCCTCTCATAATTATTTACTTATTCTGCAATGATATTGTCATATATGATTTTCCCAAGATTATGCTTTACAATTTAGGTAATGTGACTAATCCCTAGTCGCTAGTTAACTAGCCAATTAACACCTAGTGACTTTTGAAACATTGGCACTTAGGGTCTCTAAAATGAGGAGTTTCTGTTCACTTTTTACCCTTCTGACCAACTATAACCTTAGCGACTGGTACAACACTTAGTTGGCATTGTTGTTTGGGTGTACACATGGTGCATAGTTGACCGGTGACAAAACAAAACAATGTTGTTTTGACAAATTCTAAGTTTTAATATCCCCCACCCCAAAAATAACTCATTAAACTATTACCAAGTTTATAAGATGTTGTCATTGTGACGATTGAAGAATGGTGAAGTGACAAATAAAAGTTATGCATGACATCGCGATTAACAACAAATGAAAGATTTAAGTTTATGTTTAGGGTATGTCAAGTTAAATTTCTTTCATCTTTTTCATGTTTGTGGCTTTTGTAACCTAATCAATGACATTGACATCTTCGTCTTCTGTTTATTGTTGATGGTAGACGTAAATTACAAGGGGGCGGGGGTTGCATCAAATCTAATTTCTTTTCACAATGAACTTTTTGCAGCTTGAGGTAACACCATTGTTTTTGCTGCGGACTATGATGATATAGTTGGGATTTTATTCAAAAACTTGTTTCTAAAACACAAGATTAACAACGAAAGACTTTAAAATTCGAACAACATAAACTAGTTTTATACCCACTAAAGGATCTACTTGCAAAGATTGGATAGAAAACAACAATCATTGAGAGGTTGAAAGATTAACAACCTTTGTAGTCATTTGAATCCTCAACGAGAGGCTTGAATGTTAATGAAGACGACAAAGATCCAAAGTAGAATCTCTCTACATGTATCCACCAACAAGTCACCGAACCACTATTAGATACCAGTTCTTCACTTGTATGTAGTTGTTCTTATACCTCAAAGACTTATACTAAACTAGTTTTTAGAAAAGAAGCAACTAGAACACCCAAAACTACACAACCAATTTGCTAAAGAAAGGAGAGGGGAGCTTAAGGAGCTCTCGACTTAGGATTAAACTAGCTTTGGTGGTCTCTCTTTCTTATATACTTACACATGCAAATGAAAGCCCATGCTTTCATTAATTGACTTCATCACTTGCAAGTAATCTATGATATGTAAGAGTAAGTCAAAAGCAATCAACTAACCCATATCTTGACTAGATATGGACGTCCATCAAGAGAGAGAAAGAGATGGAGTGCCTAGCATTTCTTTTTATTAATTTAATGCTAGTAGTCTTCCATAAGTCTAAAATATTATGCACAACTTATTAATTTAATGTACATAACACTAGCAACAACGACAATTGCTGATCTTAATACAATTTCTCCCTCTACTCTGGGACACTCAACCTTGTCATGCTCTAAGTGACCCTTTTTGTAATGATCATTCCGATCATATCCGAAACATTTGGGTATAACCGAAAAAAAAAACACTTGTAACTTCACATGTACGCTACAATGGCTACAACTTTTTTATTCTTCTTAGCGAGAATCAAATAAGTTGAACTTACTCGCCAAAGGTGGTTCTTGAACCTGCATTTGTTCTTTCGTCCACCAATGCACCTTCTAACTCTTGAGTTACAAAATCAATTTTTATTGGAGACTTCTGCTCCTTAAATTTCACGACTACAGTCGGTCGAACGAGGTTCTCAGAACTGATCAACTCATTTATGCATATCTATATTACTCAGACTCGATTCTTCATGACCTACTAGGGTTTGAACCAAAATAATTTTCCTAGTCATCACCATAACGCAGGTAATGATGAAAATAGACAAAACAAACTCAACTACCAGTGCCACATTAACCTTGTGACTCTTCCTGATGTAAGTATGGATCATATGCTTCTGGTAGTACAGGTCTTTACTACTTTCCACACCTACGCATACTTGTCCCAAGAATTGTGTTGCAGTTCCCAAGTCACCATAAAAGAAAATTTCACAAAGAAAATTATAAAAATGTATGTGCCCAAATGAGCACATGCAACAAAACTTTCCTAGACTCCACTAGGATCTCCTTCACACATATACCTGATCTAGCATATTCTAACTCTATGCTCCTTTATTTTAGCATCAATAATAAACATCAAAGAGCTTTAGGAATGCCTCTACTAGAATATTATCTTAAAAACAACATGTTCTTCTCCTCTACTTGATCGTATTCAAATAATAAGTCATTTATGATAGAATATAACCCTATTTTTCATCAAGATTTGTTTGGTGGCATAATTGCACATAATCACCATAAATAGTATACTCACTTATCAATACTTCTAATTTTCACAACAATCCTCTAAAAAGCCTTGATCGTGTATTAAACAATAATTCTACATCCAAATTCTTTGTATAGATTTCTTCCAGTGTCCAGTTAGCATGACAAATTACATATGAATTTACTCTGGTGCAATGGTGACAAACGCTCTCTAACTACTTTTACTATCTTCTAAATCATCCAAGTCAACATGTATATCGTTCTATCTCTTCACTTCATCATCAATTACTTTATAGGAGTTAATTCTAAAAAGTCTGCTTTTCTATTGCATGTCTTTCTCATCTACTTCAAAGGAGTCAATCCTAAGAAGTCTGCATTTCAACACATTCCACTATCTTCAACTTGGTCTTTTGTCATTCCTCACACCAATATCCTTCATCATGCAAGACTTTAGATGAATTTCTACTCCTGTTAAGTACTCTAACTTACTAAACAAGTAAGTTACTAAGCATTTCGCCATACAACGACTATTTTAACCATCCCAATCTTGTATGTAAAAGTTAAATTAAGTCGAATTAACATTTTAAAGAACTCTCGTAAAGATGTGATAGAAGTCAAATCACTCAATATTATTAAATACTAGGTCAAAGCATCTTGTATAAGGTACATATTATCTCTTAGCACATCACTCGAACTGCACACTATATCACAATGATAGACAAAGTCTCGGCCTAATGAGTTTGAAAACTCTACTAGCCTTTCCTTTCATCTTTATTGAATTCTTATGAATTTTTTATAACTTCAACTTTGATATCGTCGAAGTATTCATCATAATCTTCAGTTCTTCTGAATTCGTAAGCAATCACTGCTTCAATCTAGTCGGCAATGGAAACGCCAAGCGGTGGGATGACTTCATGGATCACACTAAAGTTCTATCATCCCGTCATTTGAAAATGTACTTTACATGTACAATACTCCTCCAAACGTACTATTGTTTCATCAAACACACTCTAAAGGTATTGTAACACTCTATAAGTATTATTTACAAAGTTATCGATGTTTACTATTGTAAGTCTTCTTATTCCATAGAAAATTTATATGCCAGTTCTAAGACAATAAGTATATGTTTAGAATGTGTACACATAAAATTTCCAAATCCTAAGTTGGCAACAAACCTTAAATCTCTTCAAGTAATAGCAATCTAGGTAAGCAACCTAAGGCATGTTATATTATTCATCATTTAGCACATATTAACATATAAGACATCTCTCCTAAAGTATGCTAGTGCAGATCATAACAATTAATGTATTCAACCTAGGGTATGCTATAACATAAATCTCATCAGCACATAATAGTTATTAAGGTATACACCATAAAGTATTCTAGTGCTTGTGTCAATTTAGGTATATAACCTAAAATATACTTGAAACACATCTCGCCATTATCACTTAGCAATCTAATTTTAAGTCTAGAAATCCTCACATTTCCTAGTTCGCTTAAACTAATGCTCTGATACGAACTGTGACATCCCCTATTTCCCAAAACAACAAAAAATTTTATTTACGCTTTTAAAATTCATAAGATCTTTATTTGCGGAAAATCCCAATACATTAAAACATTTTGAGTACTAATGATTGTCTCAAAATGATAAAAAAAATCTAAGGATTTCATAATCGATACACAACATATGTTATAACATAAATCTAACGGTCCTGGATACTATTGTATGTCTTTTTTTCAATCACTCAACATATTATTCAAATCTTCAACAATATTAACACTGCTACCTTGTTGAAACATGAAAAATGAACCTCTAGCAATCACAAGAATGAAGATGCAAAGTCAGTAGTTTCCAAGATTGGTGAAGTCTGAGATAGAGATGGAGTACGAGATGGAGATCATTCTGAGATGAAGTGAAGATATGAGATTAGCTACCTGTTTGAATATTTAATGTTTCTTGTATTATTAATGATGTAACACTTCATAGGACTTATCTATTTTTATCTTTTAGATAATCAGTTGTTAGTGACTGATTAACCAGTCCTAGGAATGTTTCCAAGTCTATATGATGTACCTCCTTAGTCTATTTAAGGAGTGTTTTGAATGGCAAGAAACATATGGATTGTTACTCCAAAGATAGAAAATATTCTCTTTAATTCTCTTTCACTTTTCTCTTAAGTGAAGATCTTTCATAACATTCTTCTTATTCATTAAATGTCTTTACATTGATTATACTCATAGTTTACTTCATTTAATTTTGAGTACTTTGTTGAATATTTCATTCATCTCTTGACTGGTATTACCAGACTTGAGTGGAACCTTTAATTAAGAGCAGACATTGATCTTAAAGATTAACTCAAGGTCTGAGTTTTCAAATCTTGTCCTTGCGCATTGATTCTAGTACTCACAATTGGTATCAGAGCTTGATTGGTTGTCCTTTGAATCCATAAGATCATATTATAGTTGATTTGAAACTACCTTGGTATTTAAATCATTTATGTGTTTAGGATAAAAGTTCTTCTATACACCACTTCTTCTCTA